TTCATGTCTAATGTGTTGGGATTTATTTTTTCATTTTTTAATTTCAAAAAGGAAGCATTAGTGTAGGAAACAACTAAAAGTCTACTCCTGTCGAAAACCAGTTAAAAAGACAGTCTCAGTCAGATTATTCAGTATTCATGTTAGATAGAAGTTTTGTTCTATTCATTATCATCTGCTAGAAGTTTGTATAAAGGGGATTTAGGTTATATTCACAACTTATTGAATCAGAAATATATTTTTCATCCTTCCATTACTTCTTCTCTTCTCTTGAATTCTAAAGTTTATTTAGGAAATGTTTCCTTTGGCTCTTATTTTTTGTGAAACTTAACATTTGTTTACTTTTTGCATGATTTATGATGCTAGAAACGTTGTAAATTTGCTCAATATTTTACCTCTGTTGCAATTACTAGTGCTTTTGTTGTTTCAAGTTTTTTTTTTTTTGGTAATTTATAGATCACCCCTATCTAATTATTGTGTTTTTTTTTTTTCTGTAGATGGATTACATAAACACTTCTCATCCAAATTTTATTGGTGGGAGCAAAGCTGTAGAAATGGCACTACAACAGATCAAGTCCACCAGGCTTGCTGCAGTGATTCCCAGGCAGAAAGTAAGTATTTACTTTGCTGTACTGACCCATTCACATCTCTCTCTGTTTGCTTAATAAGATTCTGTGGATTAATTTATGGTTTACATTTATTAATTAGGATACAGGAGATTCAGACAAAGCACCAAATTCTGAGAGAAGTCTAAAATCTCGTGCTATTCTTGCCAGGCCTGTGAATGGAATAGTTCCAGAGCAGGTTAGCTATCTATTGGCACCTGGACCGTCCTTGGAACCTACTCATCTTCTTTTGTCTCTAGTGTTGTTAAATTACCAAAAAAAAAAAAATACTTGCAGAATTTCACTATTGTAATGCTAATTATTTTTTCAGGCTTTGCATGACAAACAGGGTGTTCGACCTGCAGCAGATGTCGAGAAAACTGCACTGCCTGGTAATTTTTCTCTTTCTTTTTGGTAGAGAAAAAATTATATCTTATGATATTATGCCCAAATATACTGGGAATAAGGCTTAGTTTGTCGTTGTTTTACTCTTTTTGCATTTGGCCAAGCTGGGCTATGGCCACCCCCACTCCTACGCCCTCCTTTACGCCTCTGGATGAGTGGCTAACCTGATTCTCTAGGAATCACCGGTGGCAATCAGTATCATTAAAGACCTAATGTGGCAGTGTTTTATGATTAACCAGTGAACAGTAGTAGTTCGCCCTGGGGAATATCATCAATTTTTGGCAGCTATGATAATCGCTCATCTGTTAAAGAGAATTCGACTAGCAAGCCATTTAGTGAACCTGTTCAGAGCGTGGAGCATAGCGTTTCGGTCATTCACCTGAGAGAGGTATGTTCATGGAGTAGCCTCTCTAGAATATTTGTTCGATTTGGTCGTTGAGATCTAATGTCTTTGTTACTGTGCTAACAAGTTTCTGTACTGTTTTTCTTGAAGCCCCCTGCTGTCTTGAGGCCTTTAGAAACTCATTCAGACGATGCTATTGAGATTGCTATTACGAAGCTCTTATTACGGTCATATTATGACATT